CACCCCGTCCGCCGGGCGAGCGAGGCGGCCGGACGTGCGCACGGGCCCCGGAGAACGCCGGCCCTCGCGCCCGGGGTCCCGGGGGTCCCGCGGCCGCCGCCGCCTCGCCGGCCCCGCTGGGGGCAGCCGAGCCCCGGCAGGTCCGGCCTCGTCGGCGAGCACCACACGGAACTTCGCCCCAAGAGGGCCCCAGAGAGCAGCGCCTGCGGGAGGGAAAGGCTGGCCCTCCGGCGCCGCTTCGTGCCGAGCAAGCTCCTCCAGCACCCACCGCTGCTCTGTTCCCCGGTCCTTGCGGTGCGGGCAGCTCCTCCCGACCAGGCTCCTGGAGGGCACAGGGCTTCTCCGGCCCTCAGCTCCTTCCGTGTGCGCAGCTTCCCCAGTGCCCAGATGCTGCTGCAGGCGTGGCTTCTCCAGGGCCCCACGCTGCCCTCGGTGCCCAGGGACGCCTGCCGCTCCCCGGGCCCTGCCCCTGGGGGCTTTGCAGTGCAGTGCCTCCACGGAGACCCCTTCTTGCAAACAGTTTCCTCCAACATCTCCAGCAAATTCCACAAGGCAGACTTCCAGAAAGTTCCAGAGGCTGGACTTCCAGCCAGCTGCGCCATCGTGGCACCATCGCGGCCTCTTTGCCATTTGGAGGCTCCAACAAGGCCTAGACCTCAGCCCTGGGGAGGGGGGGGAGCAGGGCCTGTGATCTCACCCGGAGGGGTCATGTTGCTTCCTGTATCTGCCTGTCCTGTGTTCTTTAGAATTTCTCTTTACTGTTTTGCTAGCCAGACCCTCATGGCCACAATCCGCTGTTGCAGGTCATAATTCTTTATATTGGAACTCTACTGTTTAAAATAAAGTATTACATAAATTACTGTGTGGTTTCTCTATCCCGGCTGGGTGCCGACTAATACATAGTTCCTCGTTTATTTTAAATTAATGGCTAGATTTTTTTCTTATCAAAAAGTTAAATAATTGCAAAAGATTAACCTTCTGGTGCTCCGTATAGCGCACCCACGCTTGAAGCGTGCACTTGCCAAAACCTTAGTGCTACACACTCAGACCACTTCATGCACGGAGCCGTCGCCAGCCAGCCCCCACTGTCAGATCAGTCAGCCACGTCAGACATATTCTCTGTCCAAAAAGAGAGAGAGAGAGAGAGAGACTATCATGTATTTCCTTTTCTGTGTGTGAATAAACATGCTGACACATGTTCTCTTGGCCTCCCCCTCACAGAAGTAGGCTGGGAAAACCCGCTGGACAGACAGCAGATGGAGAGAAAACAGCAGACAGGCAGGGAGGGGCTGAGCTGGGCAGAAAGCTCACCGAGAGGAAATATGACTTGAAGATCGTTCCTAGTGCATTTCCACCTTGCTTCCATGAGGTTCTAAGGCCATGTGTTCACCTGTTTGACACCCCAGAGGGTGTACCCCAGTACAATGCATCATGGGAAGATCCAGGCTAGGCAGTGGGTAGGACGGCCCACTGAAAGGCCATCGTGACAGAGGAGGCAGGGAGGAAGACGAGGCCGACCACAGACTCGGACCTCTCCATCTCAGGCAAATATGCACCCGGACATTGAGGGTCAGAACAGGGGTCCTTCCAAACTGCCCATGACCCGGGGCCCCTGGAACGTCTCTCTGGACACCCAAAGCACATGTTCTCCAGTGTGAGGGCAGCAGCTCTAGGCCCACAAGCTACTGCATTCTCCAGTGAAGGACGGAGCAGGCTGGACATGGTGGCACACGCCTGTAATCCTGCACTTTGGGAGGCCAGGGTGGGAGGACTGCTTGAGCCCAGGAGTTCAAGACCAGCCTGGGCAACATAGCAAGACCTCATCTCTACAATAAATCAAAAAATTAGCCAGGCATGGTGGCGCGTGCCTGTTATCTCACCTACCACTCAGGAGATTGAGGCAGGAGGATCACCTGAGCCCAGAAGGCCGAGGCTTCGGTGAGCCACGATCAGGCCACTGCACTCCAGCCTGAGTGACAGAGTGAGGCTTTGAGTTACAAAAAAAAAAAACACAAAAATCAAAGGGCAGCGCAGGGATGCTTTCCCCAAAATAAACAAGAAGCTGAGAAAAAGGACGCAAACAATTTTAAAACGACAAAGTAACACATGAAGCCATATTCTTTAAAAATGTAGAAAACAGAAGATTTCCTTCTAAGAATGCTAAAGGCAAAAGAGACACTGTCCCATCAGATGTGAACCCTGACTCCCACCAGATAAGGGTCCTGCTTTTAGGATTTGTGACTCGGTATCTCACATGGGTTAAATCCTTCATTTACGGCGGTTTTGTTTCTTATTTAAAACAGCAAGTTTTCCTTAGATCCTGAACTTTTGTGAATCACATGATAGGGAAAGACATGGAGAATCCAAACAAAAAGTCAGGGGGTGGGCCAGTTTTGCCATTTGGGATATTAACAAGTTGAACACAGTAACCATCTTAAGTGTTGTATGAACCATGATGACACGAGTTCAAGGTGCTGAAATACAAGGACGTGTGTTTTCTGAAAGGACATGGGTGACAATTCGAAGAGTCGGGTTTTTAGCATGAAGAATAAATACAAGAATTCAGAGCAGATTCTTAACCTACACTAATGCGCAAATAGAGTTCATGCAACTCAAGAAAGTTTCTAAGGCTTTTTTAATTTCAAGGAAACTACTGTTTCCTGGCATTTCTGGAAAAATCTGTAAATGCTAGTGTTTTAAAAGAGAAACATTTATGGAGAGATATTAAGTGTGTTTTACATGCTGTGTGTATCAGATTCTTGTTTATACATTTCCTCTAAGAATCTTTGTAATTCTGTTTTAAATAAATGCCATTTACTCAGTTAAGGTTTCTATTTTTTTTACTCACAAAAATCTACAATCCATGGGAAGCACAAGGCTTCTAGAATCTTCTCCACCTAGATAAATTAATTTTTGGTAATGACTTTTCTCTCCTGAATAAGACCCATTCTCTCCGGAATACACTTGTCTGAATGAACTATTTTGGTCAAAAAGCCTGTGTATTGCCTGGATCAACACAAAAACTACGAACCTCACATTCATAACCTGCCTATCTGTACAGAAAAGTTACAACCCCATGTCTACTTTTAATGCAGGTACTTTCCTTCATTACAGAAGTATAAATAGCCTACTTGGTGGATATTATTCAACCTGAAGGACATATACAAAAAAGTTTTCATTACATTCCAATAAATACATTTAGGGCCTCACTTGAAGGTTTTTCTACAAATCAATAAATACATAAACATTTTTATGCATGCCAAAAATCTCTCTCATAGCTCTGCTAAGCGCCATATAAATTATTGATACGAACAAGCTAATGTAGGCTATTTTCAAGGGATGCGCAGTCAGTCAGTCTGCCACACTGGTAGTTTACCATAAACTCAATGGTTGCTTTTGTTTTGTAGGGGGTAAATAGAAATTTTTTTAAATAGAAGAAAATCCATGAATGTAAAGACTCTAAGATGAACAAGCAATAATTAGTCTGTTGCCATCTGGGCTGTATCCATACCTACAGGTTGTTGATATACTTACTTAAACAATGGAGTTCCACAAACAACACATTTATATATTCCAGGATCTTTGTGATGTGTGTATTCTCCTTCAAAGGCACTGATAAACAATAAACAGATCGTTTAAAAAGTTAACGTTAGCATTGGTTCTCATGGAATGCATTCACTTAAAATATATTTCTCTAATACATTTTTCAAGAACAGACCAAACATATGGAAGTCTGAACATTACTAATATATTTCAAATCTATATCATAAAACGTGCCTATAACGACTCCAAACTAAGTGTAGGTTAAATTAAAAAAAAAAATCAAGTCATCTAGTTATGTAACACCTAGACAAAAATTTTTTCTATTTAAAGGAAAAAAAGGCTGCAGTTTAGATTCACAGAAAGAACATCATCATTACATAAGATTCCTGCTTATTACAGTGTCCAAGAGTGTGTACCAGAAAATACAGAAGGATCCAAGACTTCAAGTGCAAGGAGCCTTATTTTTCGGTTTGAAAAGGAATATTGCAGCTTTAAGGGAATATTTTTCTAAGTTAACAATCTTAAAGGCTAGGAGGTCATTCAGCTAATACAAGTCAGCTGTGCTAACCTAACAAAAAGTCTATGTGCTCCACAGCTTGTTTTTATTATCCTTTCACCCTCTTTATGAGGGCCAATTTTTTTATAAACAGAATTTTTAAGAATGACCTAATCTCTGGTTGTTTGTGGGCCTTAAATCATTTTGCTGGCCATGTACACAACAGGGCAGAGAGACTCAAGCCCACTGTTGCTCATTATCTGGCGAGGGTGGGCTTTGCTGGCGATCCCATGCCCGGTGAGTTCAGTCAACAATAGATACCGTGATGGGGAGAGTGCTGCCTCTGGACGAGGCTCCCATGTGTGGTAGAGGGCTCTCAGTTCATGAATGAAAACAAGAAGTTACATCATTAATAAGTTCAGATCAGAGGTACGTTGCAGTTGTGTGCCAAGCTCCGTGGTATAAATTAGACAACAAAATCGTTGGACCTTGGCAAGGTACCTTGGAGCTGGAATCAGCTGAGAGAGAGAGAGACTTTATTCACTAAAAACAGTCTTGGAAGGGAACAGACTCTTTTTTCAGGACTTAGGGCGAACTTCCAAGGACCGAAGCCATGTGAGGGCAGTTATTGAAAATTTTTGACATTCCAACCACAAATGAGCCAATAAATACTTTCTCCACATGTGCTTCAAAAAGAAATCGGAGTGGGGTAGAAAGCAACTAAATTATGCTACCTTCTTTTTGCAGCCAAGACGTCTATACTTACAATGGCCACCTTCAGAATTTCAGCATCCTGGCACAGTGCCATGTCCCTCATGGTTTTGCTGACTGTGATGTCTTCCCAAAAAATGTACCTAAATCGCTATTACTTCCACACAGTTTGTCGTAAACTCAAAACAGGCCCTTCACAAAAGCCCTGTGACTTTACATAAGATATGGAGTGTTCATTAAACGGAGGAAAGAACAAATAAAACTGCGTCTTAACCTAAGCAATCCCATTTCCAACCTTCTCAAGGATGCTCATTTGTAGACTTTAGCAGCTCAGCGTAGAGCGCATTCGATTAATTGGCAGGGGAGGGGGCCGGGGGCGGGTGAGGAGGAGCGAGCCCACGCTTGCTCGATGGCCTTTCATCCCGGTTCGCCTTACCTCTCAGTCCCTTTCTCCTGAGTGACATAGTACTGCAGGGGTGTGAGCCGCTTCCTCAGTTCCTGCTGGGAAAAGACCACCTTACAGCTCTTTTTATCCCTACATGACCCTGGAAAGAAAAAGGATATGGGAGAAGAAGGCTTTTTAGCTTGGATCCCAAGTAATTGCTTTGACTGGCCGCCACGGTGCGGCCTCTGCAGCCACTTGTCAATGGCCAGACCCGTCCCCAGCACGCTAGGCTTACCCGGCCCGTGGCCGACTACTTCTCCGAGTTTTAAAGGAATGTTTCTTAAGAGCCAGGTGACTCCATGGCGCAGGGGCCACCACTGCAGCCCAAGTCTCCAGGAAGTGATCCTGAAAGCTCCCTGGACGTTCATTCACGAGACCCATCCTTAATGTCTCCCAGGCCCTGAAACTCCTTTCTTCCCCATGAAGCCTCAAGCATAAGTCTATTTACAAGCATTGACACTGTACATATAAGATGATGGGCATATCAAGTTAAGCCGTAGCTCTCCAGTGATTTGGCGACTTGGTGTGGTGTAATAGCTCGAAACCATCCTCATTCCATTTCCACGCTGGATGATTTAGCTGCCATCCTATTTTTTTGAAGTTTGAAAATGTATTTGCCTATGACTAGGAATTGCCATTGTCTGCAATTCCGCCAAACGCTCCACGCGGTTCTGTCAAGTCCTTACAAATAAACGTCTCTTTAAAGACTGTGTCTTGCCATGTTAGACAGGCGGCAAGAAACTTTCAGTGAACTACAGGAGAAGGCATTTACACTGATTCAGATTCAAGAAGCTCCCAAGAAAGAGTGAAGAAAATAGAAAGGAAGAAAGACAAAGGAAAAAAAGAAGAAGGAAGCGGGGTTTTCAGAGACGTCCACTTTCTTTGTGCCAAGTGTGTTTAGGAAGGCTTCACTGCAGAAGTGCATTGGAATGGTGAAGTCATTTTAATGTGATCCTAACAACAATGGCAGCTTTTATTTCAGCCTATACGGGCTGCAGTAAAATGTTCAGACAACGCCTGTTTATAGGTAGTATTTTATTTTACCTGCACAAATGATTGAAAAGAATGTAACTCCCGGATGGGGCAGCCATGACTCACTGCAGTAAAATTGCTTTGCTTTGCCATCCATCACAGTGGGAAAGAGGCTTGCAGATGGTCTGACGTGTGCAGATTTCTGACCGTGTTTTGAAGTCACTCAAAGAAAACCTGCTTCGTTTCCTGACTATTAAATCCAACTTCTTTCGAAACACAAAGAAATATGATTTAGGAGTGGCAATGCTTTCTATTCCTCTCACTCTCAAGGTACATAGTGTCATCGTGGGTGAGATTGCAGGAATTAAAACTAGGAAAAAGTGAACTAACCAGCTGATTGCGGGATTAAAAAAGGCGATCGGCTTCCAGAATCGGAGCCACCGGGGATAAAGGGCTTGGTCCTCTGTAAGAGAACATGGAGGAGGGAGAGAGTGAGGAGGAGCCCACAGAGAGGGCCACCTCAGGGCAGGCTTGCAGGCCGTCTCACAGCACCTCTTCCGACCTCAGTCCTTGCCCAGCCTGGAGAGGCCTGATAACAGCTGGCATGTCCCTAAGGCACTCTGACCTCTTCTCCCTGGACCCCATCATACACTGGGCTCTCCCCAAATACCGACTACTGACACCTTTGCTATCATCTCAGGGGTAGGTAGAAATGTCTCCCTGAAAAATGTGTGACCCGTGAGAACAAGCCTCCTGGTAGCTGGAGTGCAGAATGGCTCTCTTCAATAATCAGCCGACCGTGATAGGTGAGTTTCTGCTCAGTTCACTATAGACCTCCTTAGAGTTAACACATTGTGCTTATCTGTTTGTTGAAAGGGTTGCCTCTTCATTAATTTTGTAAAACAAACAGAAAAAACAATTCGTTGCAAACTTCACATAACAAAACGACTTGGTTAAAACGATTCCTCCCAACGGCACAGATAATTGAAATCCGTAAAATTAAAATTAAACAACTCCCTCCGAAATATTTGTGCCCCTCTGTGTTCATTCATACAAAAAGACCAATTGTGTCCCCAAAGCCGAGAGAACCAAGCTTCCCATCTGTATGTCATTTAGCACCAGAGAAGCGACTGCAGGTTTAAATTACACGGTCCTGGATTGCAATTTCCCAACACTGGATGCTTTTCCACGTTTTTACCTTGAGTCATTTACTAAGGAGTGTTCATAAAAAGTAGCTTAGAGCACAGATGCTTGCAAATCGTTCAGGCAGAGATGTTTCTCTCTTTCTCATTCCCCCTCTCTCAGAAATCTCTCTTTTCTGAAGAAAACGAATAAAACTGTTGGTCAGTATGGATGAACCCTGTGAGACGTGTGTACAAAGGGAAAAGGTAAAATGGAAAACATCTGATTGAAGTAAATAATGCAAACATAAAAGCTTTACCCATGAATGAAGGGTATTGAAGAGACTTTATTTCGTAGATTAGAAATTACTTTTGATCTAAACATTCTAAAAACAGATTGTTTTCCACTCTGCAACGTCTCATTAGCTGGGCTGCAAGACCTCGTTTTCATGGCAAGCTTTGAAAGACTGCCGAGGCCGCCCTTTGTTCGTCTCCGTCTTATTTGGGAGGGAAATAAAGATTTCATTCCTGCTTTCTTTGTTTGTCTTTCAAGAACCACTAAAGCAGTATTCACACAAATTTTGTAGGAATGTGCCCTATGTCATAGCCTACAAATTATTTGGTTTTGGTGCACTTAAAGGTCATCTTCCAAATTAGCAAAATTTTTCTACATCCTGGCTTTTCAACCTTAAATATAAATATTGTTTCCTAAATGTAAGTGAGGTTTTCTCTTTAAGAAATTCTAGTGATTATTTAAAGTTGTCAAACTTTGTACATTTTTGTTCTTTGGTCATACTGTGTTCTCAAAATAATTAGGCTTTTAAAGCATACCCAGTCACAGAAGGAAATATGTGTGGACTAGAAACAACGATTGTGATTTTATATTAAACAACTCAATGAGAAGTTAGGCAGATTTTCATAAATGCCTCGCCACACTGTTTAATAATAATATACTTCCTGGAAAATTGCAAGTTATACTATTACATTCGGTCTGCTATCATCGGAACCCAACACTGGCATGTATAAACACAGAAAGGCTTCCTTTTGCCTTTGATTTCCCTTCTCCCTATCAGACTCACTTTTCTAAAGTCATGTGGTGCCACTGTTAATTTCGAAGGAAGCATTTCAGTTTGAAATTCTAGAGCAACTCATGGGATGGTTTTCCTCCACTGTCTTCACGTAGGTACTGCAATTTTCTTATTACACAGGGTAATTTAACATTAGTATTATGTGACATCTGCTCAATGACCTCTAAATTGGCTTAGAAGTACGTTTGGGAGAGATTTTTCCCTCTATTTAAATGTTTAATGGTGTACTTCGAAGGCGCAAGTGTGTACACAAGCAACCCAAGTATGTCCGAGGGGATCATTGTGCCACTGCGGTATCGAATCATAACACTGTTCCCTGCGGAGGAACTCTGGAGTAGATCAGACCTGTCTCGAACCCAGCCCAAGGGGGTTTCATTCACTGAAATGTGCCCCAAGTCCCATGTTAACCTGAGGCTTGTTCCGTGTCATTTTCTGGAGGCCGGTATCATTTGGAAGCTCAAGGTGGGGTCCCTGACGCAAGTGGGAAGAAGCTCCCAGTGGGAGTTGGCCATCTGGCTCTGCCCGGTTGTGTGACCTTAGGCAAGTCAAGTCCCCACACCAAGTGCCACCACCCTCAACCTGTGGTGAGGCCCCCAGCCTTCAGCACTTCCTAACTCTCTGAATAAATGCATCGCCACATTATCGTGTAGATGACAGTGAATGTTGAAGTTAAAACTCTATTTTAGAAGGTAGCCAGGTCAGGTATGCCAGTGTACTGTGGTGTCTTATGAGTGATTATTTTTCTGTAATGATTCTCTCAGAACAGTATTTTCTCCCCACAAGTTATCTTTTAAAAATGATTACTAGCCGGGCATGGTGGCTCAAGCCTGTCATCCCAGCACTTTGGGAGGCAAGAGGATCGCCGGACCCCAGCAGGTCAACACTGGGGTGGCCGTGAGTGTGCCGTAGGACTCCAGCCTGGGTGACAGAGTGAGACTCCACCTCAAAAACAAGCAAACAAATAAACAAAAAAAGCAATAAAACGATTACAATCGGCAATGGAGGAAGAAAATAAAACTCATAAAACTTGAGTTTTATGTGTCAGGCACTTTGACATGAACACATTCAATCCTCTCAATGATTCCAGGTGGCAGCTGTCATGCCCATTTTGCAGATACAGAAACTGAGGCTTGGAGAAGTTACGACATAACTTACTAAGAGCAGACAGCAAATAGATATATCAACTCAACCCCACAGTCCTTTCATTTCCTGTCAGAAAAAAACTGTGCTACAACTTTCTTCATTCTTCTCAAATCATACAATAAATTTCAGCTTCGTTCTTCTCAAATCATACAATAAACTTCAGGGGAAAAGTAAGAGTACATCCAGAAAACCAAAAGACATTCCTACTGGCCAGTGTCTCTGTTCCCTGTATTCACTTCTTCAGCAAAGGGTTAGTGACAAGTTTCATAGGGGAGTCTCACAAAGTCTATAAAATGTTGAAAGGCCTTTTAACTTCCTGTTAAGAAGTAAATCAGATCTGTTACTTAAATCTTAGAGCACTTTTAAGCAATAAATTTTATATTTCAGTGTGAAAAATCAAAACAAAACACAACCCAAAGATCCCATAACTTTAATTTTGGTTCTAAGATCAGAAAAAAATGAAACTATTAAATATTTTTCCAAGATAATGAATGAATAAGAGATAAGAAGATCTTGTTTTGCTTTGTTTACTAGGTTAAAACAGTAAAGTCCATGTCAAAATTTCTTACTGCTATATTTAAAGATGATATACTTTACTTTTCACTATCAATTTGGTGGGTTATTAATCTGTCATTGGAAAAATGAGTACATTTTTACTCCATGCATAGTATAATGTTAGAATTTATAAATAATAGGCATTGACAAAAGCCAAAGCTGGTCCCTTTTTAGAATGAAATGTAAAATATACTCCATAAACCATCATTTATTGTGCATTC